AGCTGGACGTCGCCATCTGCCGCTTAGGAGATGAGGCCATCTGCTGGCAAGCCGGCATGGAAGCGTCTCTCCCCGATTGGCCTAGCTTTAAAGCCGCGTTTCTGGAACGATTCGATCCGACCCAAGAAGAGTTGTTTAGCCGGCTAGCTCGTTGTCGGCAAGAACGGGGCGAAGCTGTACGGACGTACGCTGACCGCTACCGCGACCTAGCTGCACAACTGGGTGTGGACACGCAACACGACCCCATCCACATGCATAACTTCTTACAAGGACTACAACTCAAGGTTTACAACAAGGTTTTCCTCATGCGACCATCTAGCTTTGAAGACGCTGTACGATGCGCCATCTATATCAACGAGGGCTTGGACCGCCAGGATGTGGCTGGCCACTACGAACCGTTTCCCCCTCAGCGCACACGCGATATGGATTTCCACAGCCATCCTTCTCGGGCTACCCCGCGCTGGGAAAACCGTCACGGCGACCTTCGTGGTAATGTGCCTGATTCCCCGACCCCTAGCGGCTCACGACCGGATGGTCCCCGAACTCCAGTGGCTACACAACGTCCCATGGGACCACGGCAACCAGAGCAGAAGCCCGCTGGGAATGCTCCCTGGCAGAGTCGCCCAAAACCTAAGGTTTCGACACCCCCAGAGAATGAACCCCTGGAGTCACGAGTTGACGAAATCGCTCGCCAGTTGTCACGATTAACCCTGTTGCTGGAGCGCAACCCTAATGTACAATTGTGGGAAAGGGATAACACTCACCATGAAGACCCACATTTGTCTCAGATGGAGCATCCGGACATCTACTCTTGTTTCCGGCCGGCTACCCCACCAGCCGCCTATGTCAAACGTGTGGCCAATTTCGAGCCTATACCGCTTCCCCGCAAGCGTCCAACGGCTACCCCTAGCCAGGATGCGCCTCGGCCTGCTACTACCGGGCGTATAGGCATTGTACGACCTGTGGTGACACCGTTGGCTTCCCCGAATGCCCCGGCTACGGCTACCCAGGCACATCAGCCACAGGAGCCAGCAGCTCCGGGTGCGCCACCTCCAGGGTGTACTGCCGCAACCGGAGGTACCGTCCCTGCTCAGCGAGGCATTGCCAGCGCTGAACCTCGTCTCCGTCGACGAGTAGCTGAGTCTGGCAGCCGCACCGATCCGATTCCTGCGGACCCACAAGAGGAAGAACGGCGTATTGCTGAGGACATCATCCATAAGGTCAACAAGTATGCACTACCATTGAGTACAACGCTACGGTGCAACCCTATTAGCATCTACACGAAGGTCGGCAGCCGAGTCCTTGGGTTGGCTCGTCAGCACACCGGCACTGGCAACCCCCAGCCTGGGCCCATGTTTGGTCCAGCGAGGCCTGCGGCAGGCACTCTGCAAGCTTCTCTTTCAGAGCGTCCATCTTCAACAATACCCGCCTGGAAGTCTGATGCCGTCGTACCACCCTGGCAAGTTTGCAAAGCTACCGTATGGATAATTGACGGACATGGAGGACAAGTTCCCGTCCCTGCTGTCATCGATTCTGGGGCTTCTCATAGCGTTGTTACACGAGACACACTACGGCGTTTAGATCTTCTACACCTGATGGAGGAGACGGAGGTGACGTTCCTGAATGCGGATGGCAATCGTGGTCGGGCCGCTGGACGTGTCAGTGAACTGCAAGTGTCCACTGGCGACCTAACGATGCTGCTGAGTCCGTTCGTCAGCACCGCCCTCAACTATCAGCTACTCCTGGGCACCGACTTCCTCTACCCAATACGAGCAAGTATTTCGTACGACAGTGGTCGTCTGGAATACACCAATGACCGGGATCAGCGGTCCAACATTGCTATCCATTTTCTTCGGAGCCCCGGCTCTAATATTCCCCCGTCTGCTCGACTTTGGGACGACTCACCTGAGCAAGACGACACTCAACCAGCTTCCATGTTGACGGCCGAGGCATCAGTACAGCGGCCTGAGACGCCCACGCCACAAGGGCAGATATCGCCTGCGGCTATCAATAGAGGCTCCGCGCCTGAAACCATTGATTCACCTGATGGAAACAGCGGAGAGGTTAGTGATGGAGATTCGACAGCCCGTGGGGACATGGACATGGAACACATCGTCGGCATACTTGTACGGCAAGTGCTTAGGTCAGACGAGATTCCGTCAGAAAATGCCTCCAGCGGCGAATGGGCTGCGGATGCATGGAGTACCGACAGCGTCGTCAGTTCTGGCAGTGAAGAGGCTCGGGCAAATGTCTGGCCTGGAGATGAGTTCGAGTACGACAATGACTCGCACTCCGGACCTGGACCGCCAATATCGACCCCTGCGGATCCATTCCGTTCTTTTCCTGAAACTACTCCCGTCTTAAGTTCGCGAGAGCTCCTGTTACCACGATTGCTAACTGAGGAGTGTGCTTCCGTTACCCACAGCCATGCTGCGGCAGCACAGTTTGATGCGAACATGCCAGCTGCCCTTGCCCCAGACGGCTTGGATCATGACGGACATTTAGAGGAGGCTCATTTTCGCGGGTTGGTAGCCCGTGCAGTTCGGCCAGTCAAGAGCCCTACCCCTGAGCTACGCGAGTTGCTAAGCAGCAAAGTAAACACCGACCTTCAGTACCTCGACCACCAGCAGCTGGTCACATGTTTGACTGACAACTTTGACATGTTCGCCTTAACCAACCGAGAGCTAGGGCTTACGTCCTGGGTGTCCATGAAGGTGGACACAGGAGATCATCCTCCTATCGTGCAGAATCCTTACCGTCTGTCACGAACGGAGAAAGCCGCCGTTGATGCTGAGATGCGGCAGATGCTACAGGACGGAATCATCGAACTGTCCAACAGTCCTTGGGTGTCTCCAGTAGTAGTCGTTCCCAAGAAAAACGGAGAACTCCGGCCCTGTGTGGATATGCGGAGGGTCAACGACGTCACTAAGGACATCCGGTTTCCGATAGGCCACATCCAGGATATTTTGGATATTGCTGCACCTCCGGGTGGCGAGACTCGTTACTACTCCAGCCTGGACTTGAAGTCGGGCTACTGGCAAGTCCCGATGGCGGACGAGGCTTCTAAGGAGCGTACGGCATTTGCCACGCCCACAGCTCAGTATCGATATGTACGAATGCCCATGGGTCTAAAGGGGGCAGCCGCCGTGTTCACTACCCTGATGCACAAGGTTCTGGGCCCACTACTAGAGGATTCGCCTCCACCCCCTGCTTCATCGGATAGCCCACCGCGGGAACGGTGTGTAGTGGTTTATCTGGATGATATCCTTATCTTCAGCCCAACACTACAAGATCATGTACGACATCTTCAGCAAGTGTTCGACCTTCTCCGAATGGCTGGTCTCAAGATCGCAGCTAAGAAGTGCACGT